TTTTAATGGTATTTGCCTGGTTAAATAAAGGTTAACAAATAAATAAAATGAAATGAAATGATAATTAGCAACATGGGTACGTAAAGTACCTGAAAAAAAGATGATCTTCACATTGTTTTGGTGACGTTGGATATTTGATCCTTGTCATGTTTCAGCTGATCTCCAGAGCGTCTTCCCTCTGAAGGATCTGGGAGAGTTCTTGGTTTTGTTGAAGAAAGATAAGGAACATCGACTTAAAGAGCTCACCATGATTGTAACGGGGATCAGACTCTTCACTGAAGCCAGCAAGAGAACAGAGGAGGACTTCAACATCCAGGAGTTAAGTATGTTTTCCTTTTTATGTTAGAAATCCACACAGGGACCAGAATCTGGGACAGTTCTTCTTCATGCTAGAACAATGGTCCCTAAACTTTTCAGGTTTTGACCACAAAACAACATCATCAAAGACTTACAACCCAAACTATTGCCTATTGAAGTGTATAAATATAAAAATATGTCTAAACTTTGCACAAAAAGTAAAGAAATTTTTTTATTAGGTTATATTTGGCAACGGCAATTTGGCAAATTTGTTATGTGCAGAACCCATAGCTCTACTGCTCATCCCACAAATGCATGTTCCTTACAAATGTGGCACCATTTAAAGGGGAAATTAACAGGCTTTCCAACGGTATACGATTTACTGCCAAGAATTTCTTGTTACAACAATCGTATACCGTTGGAAAGCCTGTTAATTTCCCCTTTAAATGGTGCCACATTTGTAAGGAACATGCATTTGTGGGATGAACAGTAGAGCTATGGGTTCAGCACACGACAAATTTGCCAAWTTGCCGTTGCTAAATATCTTATTTTACTGTTGMTATTGATGCTTGTTCTGAGTTTCTGGTACCCCCAGGTGCCCACCAAGAAGCATTGTTACAAATAAATAGTCTAACAAACAGTTTTCCTTACTTTTTGTGCCAAGTTCATAGATTCATACTGCAAATAAACAAAATTGTTGTCATAATTTATGACCATTGTTTTTAAAAATATTTTATATTATGATAAAAATGTGCAGCTACCATCTAGCAATATAATATTTGGATTCTCAAAACTTGGTGCTTCTCGACCCACAGAGGTGTCTGTCTTCAAAATGTAACTGCATGATTCTCAATGAAACTTTGTGTTTCATTAACTATTAGATCCAGTTTTGTGTTTTAAACTTGTATTTTCACTTACAGCCATGTGCTTTAAACAGAGGAAGCGTCTCTTTTGATGTGTCCCACTCTGTCACGTTAATGCTCAGTTTACATTCAAATGTCTGACGTAAAAGGTACCACACTGAAGGCTCTGAAATAATCCAGTGTAAAATACAGACACACCTTAAGTTTATTTGTAATAAACAGTGGTGGGCACCAGCCCGCTAAAGCGCAAATCTGCTAATTGCGGACCTTCGTTTACGCTTTAGCGGTCTTACTAATTTTTGTAATTCATATGCAGATTTGCGCTTTCTAAAATTAAAATGCAGTACAGCTAATAACTAATTATCTACCAGTCATCATTATCTTGAACAACAGAAGGTATGACTGTCAATGAATCACAACACATGTGATCTATCCAACAGCACCCCTCCCAGATAAACATACTTAATGAGAAAGTATACATCCTTGCTGATTGTTGCTTTGGGTCACAGTTCTGATTTCCCACAATGCTTTGTGTCTACTTACATAGCAGGAAGGCAACAGCAAAAACAGTTAACGTTTGTAATCCATGCTAAAATTTTGTATGTATTGATTTATTTTACTTTACAATCAGAGCTCCTTTTTAAAAAAAAAAAGTTTAAACGCTGGAGCTCAATACTTGACGTAATTGGTCGAAGCAACGGGGTTAGA